TTTGCACAATCTAAACCGATAACATTTTAGTAGACAATTTTTGATGTAATTAAATAGTACAGTTTCTCTTCAGAAAATAAAATTATATCTTGATTTTTGTATAACACTACGAAATCGTATGTTTTTACAATACTATATACGTTTTATATATTATTCACATTGATTTGGTAACATAATTTTATAAAAAAGCATAACTTTAGTATTGTTTTATATAACAATTTTAGAAGAAATAAACATTTTTTTTTCGCCTTAGACCTCTAAATAGCTTCGCACGGCCCTCTGTAGAATGAGCATTAACCATATAACTTGCAATCAATAAAAATTGTACGAGAGTGATGAATGGATAAACCTTCACTTTACCTAATATTCATAACTAAACCACGGGGCCAGGTTAATTATTTTGTTTGGGATTGAATTTGTTTAGTAGAGTAGTTTATCACTGAAAGGTTGTTCAACCATCCCATAATTTTCAACACAACTATTTATCCATTATTGGTTCATTGGAATTTATGACAAAAAAAAACTTTGGGATGAACTACAAAGTTTCATATAGCAGATGAGATCTATAGGTTTCGAATAGAACTGATGGATCTTAAGAAATCAATTTTTTATCATGCTAATTAGGACAAACTAGATTTTGATATGTTGTCTAATCGATTTTAATATTTAAACATGTATAAGAAAACATATGATTTCTAATATTTATAAATATACTAAAAAATATATATTGTGCATCAATATAATATAGTTAAATTTTAATCAAGCATATTTTGATTCCATTAGTTTTAATATTTTTATGTGCAAAATTGATCAAAATATATACAAATGCTATTTATTTTAATATGTTTTAAGTGTAAAATTGATTTTTATTATTCGTGTAAATTAAAAATTTGCAATAAATCAGAGAAATTTTATATTTATATGAATTTGTCAGACATAACAAACGAAAAATAATATATATTTTTCAATAATGAAATGTGTAAATATTTGTAAGTGTAGTTATATATGTATAATATAATACATGATAATTAAAATATTTGTATATAGTATATTAATTTAAATACATATATACAAAATAAATAATATAATTACAAATATAATAATAAAAACTTTTTAATATATTAAAAAAAAAAAA